CGAAGAAAATAAGTGTTTTTGGAAAGTACATAGCAAGAGTTAAATTTCAGAAGTTAAAAAAGTATTTTTTTTCTTAGAAATCACTATTTTGAAAAAGATACATTTAAAATTACTTATAATAAATTTGGTCAAGCATAAATTACTACTCAAATGTGTCTTTTAAATTATCATTCCAAACACAAATTAGAAACTTTTTTGAAAGACGTTTTTTTTTTTAAAAAAAAAGCTAATTTTAGAGTATGGTCAAATAGACTAGTGATTTTATATGTGTTAGTATCACGTTCGAGTTTATATTATGAACGTGACCGGCATTAGAAATTTATTTAATGTTTCCAAACGAATCCTTAATCTAGCTTACTATTAATTAAAGAGAAGACTAAGCACCTTATGCAAGCTTTAAAAAGTGAAAAACCTTCACATGGCTAACTATACCAAACACACCATTAATTTGACTTTTGTAAGGTCTTCCAAGTTGCAGTTGCAAAAGACTTCCAAGTCAGATTGAGAATTAAAAAATTAAGGAGTCAATAATTAGGTTGCGTTCCAACTTTAAGAATTCCAAGTGCTCAAAGAAGAGTTTTTTCACTAATTTTGCTCTCTCACCAACCGACTTTAGTTTAAGGAAAATGACCATACTTTTTTTCTTTATATATAGTCCATATATTCACTCATAATTTTCATCAATTCAACCTAATTCTCTGCTTCATTAGCAAATTAAACTTGCTATAATATATATACTAATGGCTTTTGCTTATAATGCACAAGCATTTCCCTTACTTACATTATTGTTCTCATCCATGTTTGCAATTGGTCTAGCCAATTATGACTTCAATTGGGGCTCTACAACATGGAACAAAACCAATTTCCCTTATACTCATCCACCAAATGCTACTCACACCTCCAATAGATTCATCGTTGGAGGTTCCGAAAATTGGCATTATGGCTTCAACTACATGGAGTGGGCTCGAAACAATACTCCTTTCTTTGTTAACGATACCTTAGGTATATACCTCTCTTTCAAGTGAATTTATACTTTTAGTGCATTTGTGCTTTATTATTTCTTTTAATAAATTCGAGCATATTGTGGGTTCAATTGTGTCGTCTCTTACACTAAAAAAAGTTAGATTGTGCATATATATATTGTTTTTTTTTTTAAATTTTACTTTATGCATGCGTGCACTAGTGTAGTCGCAAAAATTATGTGTACTAAAGTTTTATCACCCCTTTAATACAAAATAAAAAGTGCATGCAATAGTATCATTCTATATATACTAATGATTTAAATTTTGAATTCGTTTTTGGTTGTGGTAGTGTTCAAGTATGATCCACCAAATGCAAATAGCACCGGATTTCCACACAGTGTTTACTTATTCCCAAACTATTGGAGCTTTATTAAGTGCGACTTCAGAAAAGCTAAAAGAATAGCGGATCCAACTGAAGGTGCAGGGGAAGGATTTGAGTTTGTGTTGAAGAAAATGCAGACTTATTATTTTGGTTGTGGAGAGCATAAAGGCATCCATTGCAAGACTTGGAACATGAAGTTTGCTGTGATGCCTCTTAAACATTGGCGTTTCTGAATTATAAGAGAGCAACATGTTGGAAGATTAATTATACTGATTATATTTTTTTCGTTATATTTTTTTTTGTTTTTTGCTTGAATAAATTGGAGTCTAGTCTATTTCTCTCTTTAAATTGGTGTTTCTTAGATTATTGTTTCATATCACTATTTGTGAACTAAGTTCTAGTCTATTTATCTCTCTAAATTGTTGTGTTTAAATTGAGAGGAAAATGCCTCTATATATTTGTCCAAACTTAGGGACTTTTAACACTTCTTGTGCCACACTTGATGATGAATTGATTCTTATTGGATAACTACATTATAAGTATTGAAGATAGTATAAAAGAAGTTACTTAGGTAAATAATTAAGTGTGATAAGAATATAATTAGTTAGTTTATTAATATTGTTAGAAAGGTAGTTACAAGATATCAAGCAGTTACAGCTGTATGTATAAGTAGAGGTTCGATCCTCATTGTGTAAGCTCTCTCAATTTCGATCAACACAAGAAACATCTCTAATCTCTCTGATTTTTAGATGGTACCAGAGCAACTGAGTCATTAATTCTTTGATTCAAATTGTAAGTTCGATTCTGGAAAACAGAGCCTTTGTGATTTGCAATGGCGATTGAACGAGATACGGTAACAACGGCTTCTTCTTCGGTTGTTGCACCAAAAATGATGGAATCGATCGAATCAAAGAGGAATCATCCTCTTTATCTCCATCCATCAGATACTTCTGGATCTGTATTAACTACAGTCCAGCTTATTGGTTCAGAAAATTACTCGTTGTGGAGTCGATCAATGATGATCAATCTTCGAGCCAAGAGTAAGCTTGTTTTTGTGCTTGGAACATATAAGAAGGGTGATTATGCACCTGGATTAGATGAACAATGGGAAAAGTGTAATGCATTCGTATTGGCATGGATCATGAATATTATTTCGAAGGAGTTGCTGAGCGGGATAGTCTATGCTTCAGATGCTGCAACAGTATGGGCAGACTTGAAGGAACGATTCGATAAGGTAGACAGATCATGAATTTATCGACTTCATAGGCATATATGCACAATTCATCAAGGTAATCTAACTATTTCAGCTTATTTTACCGAGTTACGATTGCTTTGGGATGAATTTGATACGGTTGTCCCTCTTCCTTCATGTAATTGTGATATATCTAGAGTATATGTAGATCACATATAATATTTGCGACTATTTGCTTTCTTAATGGGGTTGAATGAGTTGTATGGTCCCGCAAGAAGCCATATCTTGATGATGAATCCTTTGCCTAATGTTGACAAAGCATACGCGATGATAGTTTTAGATGAAAGTCAGAGAGTTACATCAGGAATGCGTACAAGAGGAGATATACTTGAGGCCACAACAATGTATGCAAGTAAGATGAATTATGGGAATAGAAATACTATTCATGGAGATAGGGGTGTGTATGCTGGAAGAGAAAGTTATAACGGAAAGAAAAAGGTGAACCGGTATCTGTTTTGTGACCATTGCAAAATGCATGGACACACTAAAAATATCTGCTATAAACTTGTGGGATATCCTGAGGACTGGATATTTATAAAAAGATGATGCTGGCGATTATAGATCGTCCAATATAGCAAGAGGAATGAACTCGAAAAAATGAAAGGATCTAGCAAATAATGTCCAAGTTGACAAGTGCAATGAGGATACTTTTGGGTCAGTTGATGAAGGAAACAAATCTAATGATAACGCGCATGACCTTAGTTTTGTTAGAGCGAATTTGCGAGCACTTGCTATGAAGTCAACATATACCCCAGAGCAGTATCAGAAGATATTGAAGCTCCTGGATAAGGAAGAGAAAACTGAAGAGATAGTCAACATGGAAGGTAATTTCAATGGTCTTAATATTCTTTTACATTCTCACAGAAGAGGTAGTTATGATGATGTTATGAGTGTCAATAATAAATATAAAAACTCTAGCAAACAAGGTCATTAGATTGTAGACTCTGGGGCAACATGTCGCATGACTCCTAAGTCTGAAAATTTGGATGATGTTAGTGGTCATAACAAAGCCACATGAAGGAGAGTTTACCTACCTAATGGTCACACTACATTGGTTACTCATTCAGGTAGTTGTATGATACCTGGTAGAGGTGTATTGAAAAATGTTATGGTTGTTCCTGAAGTTAAGCATAATTTACAGTCAGTATCACAGTTGACTAGAAAATTCAAATGTTCCGTTCATTTCTTTCCTGAGTTTTGTGTTTTTCAGGACCTCTTCATTGGAGAGGTGAAAGGGATTAGTAATGAATTGGAAGGGTTGTACTACTATCCAAGATTCTCTGCTCAGACAAAGGAAATTGACACCACTACTGCTAATAACAAGTGCTTAGTGACCAAGACAAATTCACAATCATTGAGATGGCATTATACGATGGGTCATCCTTTATTTAGAGTCTTGAAGAAACTTTACAAAGATGTTAATCAAGATGTGTGTGAAAACTGTCCCATATGTCCTTTAGCTAAGCAAACTAAGCTTCCATTTCCAATGAGTGTATCTAGAACAAATGATATCTTTGATTTAATACATCTTGATGTGTGGGGACCGTATAAAACTGTTACTCATAGTGATTTTAGATTTTTTCTGACTATTGTGGATGATAATTCAAGAATGTTTTGGTTGTTTTTACTAAAATTCAAAAGTGATGTTCTTATTACTTTGAAATCATTTTTTTCTCTAGTTCAAACTCAGTTTAGTAAGCAAGTTAAAAGAGTGAGATCAGACGATGGTACAGAATTCTTTAACAGAGAATGTAATGAATTGTTTCATCTTTGGGAATTGTCCATGAGAGTAGTTGTCCACATACTCCAGAATAATATGGAGTTGTGGAGAGAAACCATAGACACATACTTGAGGTGGTTAGAGCTCTTAGGTTTCAGGAATTAACTATTGAATTCTTGGGTGAGTGTGTGTTAGCAGCTGTGTATTTGATTAATAGAATGCCCACTAGTGTGCTGCAAGGGCAGTCACATTATAATATTTTTCACAAAAGAAAACCACACCTAGATCATCTAAGGACTATTGGTTATTTGTGTTATGACACTAGATCAATGAAGGATGATAAGTTTTCCCCAAGAGCTGATGCATGTGTTATGATGGGCTATTCACTAACTCATAAGGGATATCTCTTGTATGATATGAGGATGAAGAAATTTTTGGTCTGTAGAGATGTTATATTCAAAGGACACATATTCCCATTCAATCATATGCAGGATCATCATGTACTAGTCTTTCCTGCAGAGTCATTTATTGAGTCTGATGACACACTAGTTAGATTACTATCTACTGATGAGAAAGTAGATATTGATATTCCAGTTCAAGACGGTAGAGGTAATGAGTTAAGTCATGACATAAACCAAGAGGTTGTTGATTATCATGAACAAACAATACACATTAACCCCTACTGAAGTTCATATTGATCAATATAATGTTGTACCCAGAAATTCATCCAAAAGAGCAGTGCATCCACCAGTGTGGATGAAGGATTATGTAACTCATGTGATTGATTCAGTGCACCCATATTCTTTAGCCATATATATGTCTTATGATAATTTTGCAGTGTCTTACCAAGCTTATTTAAGTGAAATGTCTGCGGACAATGAACCTACTACTTATGAAATGGCTGTGAAAGATCAGAGATGGGTAGAAGCAATGAAACCTAGTAGTTATGTAATGGTACTTGGAAGGTTATGAGTTTGGGTTCAGGAAAGAAAGCAATAGGGTGTAAATGGGTGTTCAAAATCAAGTATAAGGCCAATGGAGAGGTTGATAGGTTCAAAGCTAGGCTTGTGGCTAAAGGGTATAGTCAGACGCAGGGAATTGATTATCAACAGACATTCTCACCAGTTGTGAAAATGGTCACAGTGAGATCCATTATTGCCATTACAGCTGCTGAAAATTGGCAAATATTCCATATGGATGTTTTTAATGCCTTCTTATAGGGAGATTTATTTGAAGAAGTCTATGTGGAGTTGCCTAAAGGTTTCACAAGTCAAGGGGAACATAAGGTTTGCAGACTTATGAAATCATTATATGGTCTTAAACAAGCATCAAAACAATGAAATACAAAGCTTACAGATGCTATGTTGGCATCGGGATCTACACAAAGTCTTTTGGACTATGCTTTATTTACAAAGAGGAAGGGATTAACACTAGTGATAGTATTAGTATATATGGATGAATTGTTGATTACAGGAAATGATTATACATTGATACAAGAAACCAAACAGATCCTGCACCATCATTTTAAAATCAAAGATTTTGGGGAATTGAGATATTTTTTGGGGATTGAGTTCTGTAGATCAAAAGAAGGTATTCATTATGAACCAAAGGAAATATGCATTGGAGTTGATATTAGATGCTGGACTGTCAGGATGTAGACCATCATTAACTCCTTTGGAGTGTAACATGAAAATGATAAGTGTTGATTTTAAACAGGATGAAACAACTGAGTTATTTACTGATATGAATAGATATCAAAGATTAATTGGGAAGTTGTATCTTACAAATACGAGGCCTGATATTGCTTTTTATGTCCAGTGTCTAAGTCAATTTATGAAAAAGCCAATATTGGAATGCAGCATTAAAGGTAGTTAAATGCATTAAAGGTAGTTAAATGCATTAAAGCAGGACCAAGTTTGGGAATATTCACGAATTCTGATAAATAAGCACAACTTACTGAATTCTGTGATGCAGACTGGGCTGCATATCTCAATAGTAGGAGATCAGTGATTGACTACATACTGAAGTATGACAAGTCTTTGATAGCATGGAAATCTAGGAAGCAGAATACGGTTTCTAGAAGTTCTGCAGAAGCAGAATATATAAGTCTGGCTGCATTAACAGCTGAGATAGTTTGGGTGACCAATTTGTTCAAGGAACTAAAGATGGACGTACATGAACCAACTATAATACATTATGACAGCAAAGCAGCTATGCAAATAGCGGCTAATCCTGTGTTTCATGAGAGAACAAAACATATTGAAATCGATTGTCATTTTATAAGAGAAAGAATGCATCAAGGACTAATAAAGATAAGTTATATAAATACCAAGGAGCAGCATGCTGATTTGTTGACAAAAGCATTAAGGAGGTCTCAACATGATTTTTTGTTGGGCAAGCTAGGAGGATTGAATGTTTTCAATACATCTAGCTTGAGAGAGAGAGTATTGAAGATAGTATAAAAGAAATTATTTAGGTAAAGAATGATAAGAATATAATTAGTTAGTTTATTAATATTGTTAGAAAGGTAGTTACAAGATATCAGAAAGCAGTGTCTGATCCTCATTGTGTAAACTCTCTCAATTTTGATCAATAGAAGAAACTTCTTTAATCTCTCTGATTTTTTACAATAAGCATAATGTAAGAAAAAATGAGTGTATTTTAAAAGGAATTTGTCAGGATTGACTACGAATACGTTTTAGATTCAACCTCTTAATATTAGTGTGAAATAATGTCTACATCTAACCACTAACGTGTCATAATAATATTATTGCAAAAATATCGTGAATTAATTAGTACAAAATAACAAACAAATAAAAATAGAGAAGAAGAATGACACAATAATATATATATATATTGACGTAACACAATAATATATATATATATATATATATATATATATATATATATTGACGTAACCAATTAACCAATAAAAAAACCAAGCAAAAAAAGAAAAAAATACAAATCAAACTAAATTTATTTTAATTCAGATAAAGTTACTTATATTTAAAAGGGCAAGTTTCACATATAGCAAACAAAAAATTCATATTTGTATGCTATAGCAAAGTTTGCATAATTGCGTTCCATAGCAAACACAAAAGTGTATAATTCGCTATACATATACAATTGTATAATTCGCTATCCTATTTCACTGCAATTGTATAATGCCCAATTGTATAATTCGCTACTATATTTTTATAAAATTTGCTTTGCATACAATTGAATCGAATTAAAATGTATGTATATTGCATATATATAAGTGTATATCAACAAGATATATGTTTTTCTCTCGCTTTATACAAAAACAGAAACACAATATATACACTTCTGTTGTATAAAACTAGAGAAAATTGTATTTAACTGCAATTGTATAATTCGTTGGCCTTTTCCTCTGCAATATTTGTATAAAATTTGCATTTGTCTACAATTGAATTGAAGTAAAATATTTGTAAATTGTATAATTAAGTGTATAACACGAAGATATATATTTTTGCATGTGTATATACAATTTTCTCTCGCTTTATACAAAACAGAAACAGAATTTATACACTTCTGTGTATAAAGCGAGAGAGGCGAGCGAGAATGGGAGAGTGGCGAGCGAGATTTTTGGGAGAGAGACGCCTAACAAACTTTGGCAAACGTTTGCTATGGAGCACAATTAAATCAAACCCTAGCTACTTCATTTATTTTAGGTTATTAATTTGTTATTATATATACAATTTTTCGTTTTCAAAATCAAAAACTCAAAGATCCAAATTAATTAGTATAAAACCGAATGCACAATGATTACTTTGAATCTTAGGGAGTATTTTGGGCCAGTGTTTCGGGTCTCACATTTCATTTCACTTTAAATTGGATTCTTACCGGTGATTCGGTTCCGGTATCGGTAAGTATTCATTATTCACGTTATCCATTCAAGAGAGTTGATTAATAGATTCCGGCGAAGTATAGAGGAGACGGAGGGATAAAGAAACCATGAGTGTGTTTGGAGGAGATAGCTGGGCGAGGGAAGCGCAATGTAGGAAGAGAAGAGTCGATGAATTGATGGTTGACAACATCGATTCTTCTGCTTATAAGAAGCTCTCCAGCGGTAAATTCGTCTGCATCGTTTGCTCTCACCGTCCGGTCCTCGACACTCCCCTCATGCTCTCTGTACGTAAAACATAAACCTAATTTTGCTCCGATTGTATCTTTTAATTTTGATTTTGGTCATTTCATTATCATATCTTCTGAAATTAACGAAAATTGATCTTCCATCAACTGTTTTGAGTGGTAGGTGAAGTATGGAAAATGAGGGAGGGGATTGCAAAGTGGGGGAATCTAAACCTCACCAACAACAAGGTGTGAAAGTTCAAGTAGCCAATCAACTAAGAAATTAAGATTGCCAAAACTACTATATGGATTTGCATGTAGTCAACAATTATAACAATGATAACTCCTTAGATGAAATTAGAATGAATTAGGTTCATTTAGGAACTTTTAAAGAAATCGAAATTTAACCTCATGTGCTTTACAATTTGATGGACCAACTTTAAATTGATGTGGATGACTTTTTTTTAAAGTACTTTATAAAAAATTTGAAACCAAATATGAGATGAAATAGTAGGAGAGTGAATCAACTTTGCAATAGATTATTCTAACTTCATACCTTTTGGGCATAAACGGTATTGTTCAATATATGTTCTCCCTTCTTAAATTCCCAATGAACAACACAATCTTAACAGGTCATTCAACTGTTGTACGAATTTAAAGTACAAATTTAAGCCGCTAAAGAGTAAGACAAGTTTTAGTTACCTCATGCATGCTGGTAGTTTTCGTTGAGAAGAAGAGAGTATGTACTGCTTCTCATTGTTTTTCAACGTCCCTCCATTACAATTTTCTTGGAAGGAGAAGCTTTCAGATTAGCCAGTGGTTAATAGAAAGTTGAATTTAGATTATGTAGAGCTTGTTTAATAGGGGTTACATCACTTCACTGATAATGTTAATTTGTGGACATGTAAATTTAGTAGAGGATGTTTTTGCATCAGATTTCTGGAAATCCTAGTTAGTTGGAGATATGAACATTTGCCTTGTCAATGGTTCTTTTTAGCTTTACTAAAGAAGGATGATTTCCAAATTGTTTCCTTCTTTTTTTTACTGTACTTGAGTGGCCTAAGGATGTGTTTTGATGGAAAAAATGTCGGGAAAACGCGGACTAACACAAAAGTATTCATAGTCAAAATAATGGGAAAATAATGACACCAACCCTTTTAAATAAGGGAAAAACGACGGACCAAGAGGAGCAACTGATATCACTATAGTAAAGAATTTTACATTGGATAGTCATGAGTGCAATATTCCAAATAACTAACTACATAATCAAACGAAATAACCCACTTTTGATTTTCACCTTTCTAAAATATTGTCACACTCTATTTTTCTTCGCAAACTATTTTATTCTCTAATCTATGGTATACCTTTCTTTGCTCTCTAATGTTTTTCTCTCCATTTTGATGTGCTTATGAAAGAGCAGAGGCTCTCTAATTATAGAAAAAACTGTCCATCATTTCAGCCAGCCAAAAGGCTTGTTTACTTGAAATTTGTTGTTGCAAATTTCAACATATGCGTTGTGCACTCAACAACTTGCTGACATTTGACATGAAGGAAAAGAAAAATAAGCCAAGTAAATTAGCACACGCAGATGAACCCCACAATCTCCTCCTCCAATGTCATGCACTAGAAAGAGCTATCTCCATCTTCTTAGGGAGAACTCATGTTGAAAGGTTCTTTGCATAAGCTGAACTTGTCTTTTGGTATCAGTTATCACCTTGGTCAGCATATCCGTAGGATTTTCACTTGTATCGATCTTTTTTATGTGAAATGGTTCACTCTCCATTTGCTAACGAATCCAATGGTATCTCACATTGGTGTGTTTTTTCCTTGTATGGTACATGAAATTCTTGCTCAAATCTATTGCACTTTGACTGCCACAATAGACAAATACTTCATCTGTTGAAATCCAAGTTCTTGAAGGGATTACTGGAGTCAGATCATCTCTTTGTATGCTTCAGTAGTTGCAATATACTTTGTTTTAGTTGTAAACAGTGCAACACAATTCTGCAATTTTGATTGTCATGATATAGATCCCCTTGAAAAAAATGTGAACAAATATCTACTGCGTAGTAGATTTTCTGTTATCAAGGTCACATACCATATCAACATTTGTATAGCCCCTCAAGATTGAATTTGATGCTCGAAAACACAAACATCCATCCGATCTTTCTCTTAGATACCTGAATATCTACTTCACAATTTCCCAATGCTCTTTCTTGGGATTGTTGAGAAAGCTAGTGATAACACCAACTGCGTGAGCAATATCAAGTCTAGTGCATACCATTAACTTATGAGATGGATGAATATGGAAATCTAACCATGCTCTCTTTTTCAACCTCAGATGAATGCTACTGTTTTGGAGCATCAAATCCTATCTTGGTAAAAGAAAATCAACTATTAGATATTTGTTTACTTTTTCGAGGGAGCTATATCATGAAAGTGAAAGTTGTAGAAGTGTGTTGCTAAAGCTGACAAAGAGATGATATGGCTCTAAGCGATTCCTTCCAAAACACCGATTGCAACATATGGAGTATATTGTTTATTGTTAGAGTCAAAAGTGCAATAGATTTAAGCAAGAATTTCATGTATCATGCAAGGACAAAACACATCAATATGAGATATCATTGGATTTGTGAACAAGTGGAGAGTGAATCATTTCATGTCAACAAGATCCACACAAGTGAAAATTATATAGATATGCTGACCAAGATAATACCAAAAGACAAGCTTGAGTTATCCAAAGAACTTGTCTGCTTGACCTCTCTCTAAGAAGATGGAGATATGTATGAGACTGGAGGGGGAGATTGTGGGGTCCATCTCCATGCGCTAAATTACTTGGATTATTTTTTTCTTTTCCTTAATGTCAAAGGTTAGAAAGATCTGGAAAAATTTGATTGACGATAAATGTTTAAAAGGTGTCTTGAGTGGTCAGTGCAAATGTTGAAATTTGCAGGTGCAAATTTCAAGTAACCAAGCCTTCTAAATGGTTGGCAATCTTTTGTACAAATTGAAAGTTGTTGCTCTCTCATAAGTACACCCAAATAGAGAGCAAAGTGAGGTATTTCAGAGACTATAGATGTAACGACCTGTTTAGTCGTTTTGAGTTGTAGAGTTTATTTTTGGTAATAACTGTCTGAGTCGACGGACCTCACGATGGATCGTCATGGGCACGACGGACCGTCGAGGGGGTCTCGTTCCAAAACACTGAGATTCTGGAAATTTGGGTACTGAGAACAACTCTCTGAACTTCGCGACGACATGGCAGGACGGACCGTCGTGGGCACGACAGACCGTCACAGACTCTTTAATGAATTGAGTCTCTGAACTTTGTGACGGAAGCAGCAGGACGGACCGTCGCAGGCACGACGGGCCGTCACAGGCTGCGTAACCCTGTTGGGGTCAGATTTTTATTAAATATTGTAAGGGGCGTTTTGGACTATTCCTGCTTATAATTATAAAGTTAGTGGTTGAATGTTAATAATTCAATTACTTGGGGTTAAAGGAGATAACCTTAGAATAAATAGTGGATTACTTTTACCATCTTTTACACTTAATTATATGGTAATTAGGGTAAAAGAAAAAGAGTTTGAATAAGAAAAAATCAGAAAGAGGAAGAGAGAACGAGCGAGAGAAAGAGAAGAACGCAGCTGTGGGAAAGTAGATTGCTTGATCACGATTCTTCGGTGGAGGTAGGTTATGGTTTTTATGCTATTTCATAGTAAACTCTTAATAGCGAATGATATGTGTTGGGCAGTATTGTAAAGTCTTCTATATGCTTAATTGTGTGCTTGCATGATGTGATTATGAAATTGTAATGGGTTGGAAAGATAAGGTTGTGAGGCTTAAACCTAAAACCCTCTTTGTTAATGATGATGCCTTGATATAAAAGAAGGCTTGATGAACTAAAAGAATGAGATTAGGGGATCGGGTGTCACGAACCGACACGTAGTGTTAATGGATCGGGTGTCACGAACCGACACGTAGTGTTAATGGATCGGGTGTCACGAACCGACACGTAGTATTAGGGGGATCGAGTGTCACGAACCGACACGTAGTATTAGGGGGATCGGGTGTCACGAACCGACACGTAGTATTGGAGAGATCGGACTATTACGTTCCGACACCAGGATAGTAAAAAGAATGAATCTTGAATGAGGTTAATGTACTCAATTTAATGAACCTATTTCCCAAATGAGTATGGTATGTAGGCTTGTGTCCTCATGGGTGTACTTGGTGTTATTATCAATGACTCTTGTACTTGTTGTTGCTACCTGTTGAGTATTGTAGTTGATGTTATGATATTATCTGATATATATTGCTTTCTATTTTGAGTTGGCCGATGATATCTACTTAGTACTCGTGTTTTGTACTGACCCCTACTTGTATGTTTTCTTTTGATAATTGTGGAGTGCAGCAAACATACCGTCGTTCTCAACTCAATCGCAACTCTAGCCAGTCTTCATCACGTCAGATTTCAGGGTGAGCTATTGTTTCTAGCTTGGACTGGCTCTTCTTCTTCGCGTCTTGACGCCTTAAAGTTCTGGCATGGACTATCGTTTTAGTTATTTTAGTTTCTTAGATTCTCTTAGACTTAGTAATTTGAGGATAGATGTTCTTGTGATGATGACTTCCAGATTTTGGGGATAATGATAAGTTTTGAGTTTTAGAAGTTGGTTATTGATTTCGGTAATGAGTTTTAAGTCTTCCGCATTATTTTTCTGTTTATTATGTTTGAAATGTTGGGGTTTAGATTGGTTGGTTCGCTCACGTAGTAGGATAAGTGTGGGTGCCACTCGCGACTCGTTTTGGGTCGTGACAATATAAAATAGAAAATAGCCCGTGAAGGAAAAATAGAATGTAACCGATATTTTAGTAAGTTGGGAAATCAAAAGAGGTTATTTCTTTTGAGTGTAATAGTGTGTAGTAGTCACTTTGAGTATTGTACTCGTGACTATCTTGTGTAAAATTCCTTACTATAGTGACATTAATTGTTCCTCTTGGTCCATGGTTTTTCCATTATTTAGTAGGGTTTTCACGTAAAAAATGTTGATGTTGTTATTTTGACTGTAAATATTTTAAGGTCTGCGTTTTTCCCAACGAAAAAAAGTTTCATCCATTCATCCGAAAGCACCTTATTGCCAACATCACAAAAATCTTTTTCTTTTCTTACTCTCAATGGTAGAAGAACATGTTTGAGTGGATTAATAGGAAGAACCCCTATTTCTTTGGACCAGATACTTTTAGTTAGTGAAGTTTTATGATTAATCGGCCTACAAACTGTAGACTTAATGTGCATGCATATTACAATTTTTCAATGCATGAATACAACATATATGTCATATGTTCATTGTAAGATGATGTATTAGGATAATTCTCATATTATAGTACTTCACTTCTGGTGATGCTTGTTCTCCTACCATCTTCTTCCTTGTAAATTCCCAATTATCAGAAGCAGCTTCTTTGGACAAAGAATTTTTGTTAGGTCCAAGTGAGCCATGGAAGATAGGTAGAGTATGACTATCTTAATCATGCCACACGCTCTTCTAAGGTGCTTCCTGCTTGCAAACAAAGAAAGAAAAATTGACTAGGTTCTGTTCAGATTTTTTACTGTTCCCCAGTTGATGAAAGACATATACTTCCTTGGATCAGTGTCTTCGACTAGTGAAGTTCTGTGTTTAATTGATAGACATCCTATACTGACACACATCATCCATTCTTACGATTTTCCAAAATCTGGATCAATATGCAGTTATGTTCATTGATAGATGTACTTTAATCATTTATCATTTTGTTAGTTGATAAAAAATAAAATTCTCATGTTAAAATACTCAACTTCGGGATGCTTGTTCTTCTCTTCTGTGACAATTACCCTGATAATCAGAAAGCTTCTGTAGGTACATGTCAAAGGTTCAAGCCATCGAGCAGAAGAGACAAGGCTTAGAGAAAGAGAATTAGGGAGGCAAGATGAGATAAACAAGAGAATAGCCTTGTCAGAATGTGATACTGCCACCTCGAAAACCTTGACATCCAGCCAGTTATGTAGATCAGCAAGCAAACCATTGATTGGATGCACAAGGAAAGCTGCTTCTTATGTACTTCATCAAAATTTGGCACAAAGTAGTGCTTCTCAAGGGGATGAGATCAAATGTACCAAGGTTGATACTTCAAGTGTTCTAGCTAATCAAAGAAGTAGTCAGTGTGTTCAGATCGGAGTGACAACAAATCAAACTATCATATCTCAGGCATACAACCAGGAACGACGAGAAAGGGAGCTTAAGTTCACATCTGCTGGCTGGAAGCGTGATGGCCATGGGAAGTGGTTTAAGGATGAAAATGTGAGTTTTTCATTTGAAAAACAGAACCAAGTAGTGGAACCCTTCTCTTGCTGTTTCTTACAACAAAGCAACAATTTTTCTTCGAACTATGACTAGGTTTATCACATGGATTATTTTTTTATAAAAAATCAATTTTCTCCGTCAAAGTAAATGTTTTTATGATAAGGTCCATATAAAACTAATAGGGGTTGCACCTTTGACTTGTTGCAGGTAGAGTTTGATTCAGATGAAGAAGATCCTAATCTCTGCCTTCCATGACTATTGGTTGAAAACAAGTATGATTAAAACTTGATCTTTTTCCTTTTGCAGTATTACTTGAATGGATGCCAAAACTAACTCTGTTACAGGTGTCCATCACTATGTATCACTTTCCATGTAGGGAATTGATTACTAGTTCCATTCAAGTTCAAGATAATCCAGATGTATTCCAATGTCTGAATGTCCCTGTTATTCATGGTTATGATTCTTGTGTTACAATGGTTATGTTGGACGTGATTTCAATTTAACAGGTGAGCGCGTCTCTGAACATGATGCTTTAAATGCATAGGATTGAGCACTTGTGTGCTGGAATACTGGTAGGTCAAGGGAAGGCCGCTACGGATTTATCATTTATAGCAATAACTTTTTTTTTCACTTGATCATTTTAAATTCATTTATAGTACAATCTTAATACATATTATAAAGAACACTCTTAGCCTCGAGCGACATTGCTTCTAATGACACATAACTAATACCGATAAAGACTTTAACACTATTTATTAATGTCAAAATACTTATTGTCGCTAAAAGTTGTTTTTGTTGTAGTGATTATGGTTTTATGTTCGGGTCGCTGCTATATAAGAAGCAATCATTTGTTACTTTGTGTACAATGAAAGCCGAGTCTGTTGCTACGACTGCTTGTGCCTATCAACGATTTGGTTGAGGAGACTTGCGGAGGAGTTGAAATTAAAGCAGCCAGTAGCTACCAGCAAGATTTTTGTGAACGGTTAAGCAATACAACTATCCAAGAATTCAGTAATACATGGAAGAAGCAAGCACATTAATGTGAAGTTATAATTTCTACGAGATCTTAACAATAATGGTACAGTTGATCTAATTTATTGTATGAGTGAAGATCGAGGGCTAAATTTGCAACCGCTATCATATCAATGTGAACCACTGGATTATATGGACTGATCAAGTCATGGCAAAATGAGAAAGGAAAGAAGAATTATATGGAAAGAAGCACCAAATCAATCGAACTAATTATAATGCATCTCTTCCTAACATTTTTGATGTTAGACTTCAGGTCTTGGAAACCCAAATACTCGTGAAAGTGTTCAGAGTCTATAGCTGAAGATTTTGTTCTTCATACAAAATAAATGTGTTGGTTTATCCTTGAAACATAACAAACCTCGTCAAACAGTAAAATTATATTATGAGAAAAAAGGAATGCGAAAATCACAAATTTCATGATTAAATCATATCATGGGATTCTGACTTGATTCTAAAATGAAAATTTACCTAACGCGATTGCCTGCTGCTCATGAGATTTGGCTAGTTCTAGCATGAACATATATTTCATGATTAAATCATGTCAAGATTATACCATACTTGAACAATTCAGTTGAAGTGGACAAGTAGAATGTTGAAAGCAATAACACAGATGCAACTAATCCACAATTTTGTATTTTTTTAATGTCAAAATATTTGCAATATTAAATTACACGCGGAACTTCTTTTCAGGAATTCATGGAAAATAATATTAGTAACCGAGACTTACCTCTGTCCTGCATACTCCTCCTGCCTATTTCAATTTTTGGAATATGGGAAATGTTGGACCACTGGGAGTTTGGGCCACTCCTTGATGCAACTTTCTTCTAACTGTGGGCAGCCACTAATTCGCAGGTTCCGTAATTTAGTGAGGCGTAGCATGACATCTCTGGATGGTAGATTCTCTAGTTTTTCGCAGTTCCAAAAACGTAACTCTCGCAAAGGAACAAGGTTTCCAAGCCCATCCGAGACAACTTCTAACCATGTATGGACAATCACGGATCACCACATACCGTAATTTGGGCCTGACATCTGAGAAATCTACATGTTGTAGCCGTTTGCACCTCTCTAGTGTTAAATCTTTCAAGAGATGTAAGGTTGTGAAGTACGAGGAAGAGCCTCAATTCCGAATCCATGTATTCGGATCACTATAAGGTCAAAAAGCTGCATAAACTGATAGGAGGGAAGAGAATCCCAGTGCAAGTGTCCCCACACCTACACAAGTTCAACAATGGCATTTCACTGTCAACTCCTTCAATGCTTAGTTCACGGAGGATTTCAAATTGACTTGGAGTAATTTTTAACAATGGACACTTTGTAATCTTCAACTTCATCTCCCTTCCACTCAATAAGGTTACGCATGTTCCTCAACACTAGTTCTTTCAATGATGGGAACACTTGGATATTACGATTATTGTTGCTTGATCCATTATCATTAACATCAACACCATAAAATTTCAGTCCGATGGATTCCAATTCAAGGAATCCTATCAGCTCAAGATGCCGAAGGAACTTCAAATGGCCAAGCGATGGAATATCTTTGCACCTCTTGCAACCATTTAATTTCAACACACTAAATTTGGTAGCAATCCTTCACGGGACCATGAAGGAAATTTAGTTCCTAAATAGTTCACTACTGCTAAGGTTTTCAAGTTTGGGTGCGGTTGAAGACCATCTAACACATGCTCATCATTGATCTCGCAGTCTTGTGATTCATCATGGGACAATAAATATGCCAGCTTGTAGATATTTGGTTTCTCCTATAAATATGTTGTTCGAGTCTCTTCTTTATTTACGACTAATTGGAGATGTTTGATTGTCAATTCACCTCTAAGATTTTCCAAACGACCTAATTCTTCTATTTGATGTCCTTTCTTTACGCCTAGGTAGAAAAATGGCAGCGTCTGAAGACTTGTCAATTGCCCCATATTAAGTGGCATCTGAAACTGATCAATAAAATTTGAACCCCAAACCTCAAATTAAAGATTTGATTGGTAATGATAGTTGTAATATATATGTCGCAAAATTATCATATTTGCCATATCTTCTGGAAGCTTCTTGAGTGAATACAGTCGTTGATTCTAAATGTTTGCAAATTGTAGAGCTTGCAAATGGATTTGAGCAAGACTTTGATCATGGTGTCGGAGAGATCAAGATATCTCAAGTATATTAGCCAATTTTGGCTGACAACACCTTGATTCCTGAACTGGACAAATTGAAAACTCCCAAGAACTTAAAGCTCAATAGTATATCTTCAGATATATAATTGCTTCTCCAGGACAGTTTGCACAAACGTTCTGGCTCATTTATCTTTATCTATTTGATTCCTTGGTGAGTCTCATCCAAAGTATTGAAGTTGAGAAAAATTTTCTCCTCCAATGCTCTTTGGATCAAATAGTTTAGATTTTAAAATATCTCTAGCCAAATCATGCATCTTACAATGTGTTAGATTTTCTTGCTCATCTAGCTTAACATCTTGCAGCAATGAATTTTGCAATAAAAGTTGAAAAAACTTGTTCCCAACGTCTTCCATCACAGGGGCCTCTTGACATGGACGGAGAAAACCTTCTGCCATCCAGAATTGGATTTTGTTGATCCTTTTCAAACTCAAAATCTTTTGGAAAAATGGCAAAGTAAGCAAAACACTTTTTCAGATGTGGAGATGTAGATAATCATAGATGAGTTTTAGGATTTTCTTTAAGCTATTTTCCCGTTATCATATTAACCTGCAACACGGGAGTTGTCGTCAAGAATCACCTCCCATTCATGTTTTTCCTTGTTGCATAAGAGATCTCCCAATACATTTGCAGCCAATGGTAGACCTTGACACATTTCAACAATCCTTTTTCTCATGCTCACTACTTCCTCTGGAATTTCCCCATCAACAAATGCTCTTGGTTTGAAAATGGACCAACAATGATCTTGCCAATCAATCTTCCCAACATATGAAGATGTACTGATACTATGGATGCCACTTGTTTAATATGAGTAGTCACGAGAATGCAGTTTTCTCAAGATGTATTGATTCCTCTCAAGGTGGCAATGAGCTCATGCCATGATGTAGAGTCAACACGCCACAAACTATCCAGGACAAGCAAATACTTCTTTTCTCCTAATGCATTTTGTAGCGTCTTGACTATAATATCTCTGCTTTGGACCTCAACTTTCCTCTTTGTCAATGATTCAAGGATTAGTTAAAGAAAGCTCTTTGTTTCTCGCATTTCAGACACAATCAAACTCTCTTTTTGAACTACTGCTTGATGTGTTGGTCATAGTATGTCATGTATGACTATAAGTGAATCTATAAGGCCGCTATGACTTCATATTATACACTAATGAAGATCTTGATCTTAGTTATTTATATTTCAATTATTAAGTGTCTGTTTTAGGCATTAACTTTAAAGTTTAAACATTTAAATCTCAATCATTAGGTCTTTTTATTTTTATTCTATAACGACTAAGATTTCAAATAAATATAAATGAAGATTTATAACAGAAATCTAAAGAGAATCATTTAAATGTTATTCATACAAGATTTTTGTAGAGATGTACTTTCACTATTCATTGCTAATCACCAATGACTGGTGTTTATCAACTCTGCCCCCGCTATCCATGAGTAGCATAACTTATTATTCCAACATAACTAATCCCAGGATAACTTGTATTGTGAAGTAGTTATATCAGTGTCTACAACACATGTTTTGTCACAAGGATAAGGGCAATCAATATGTCGATATTGATCTGTCTCCAAAAACCAATCTCTTACTGCTTCAGCTATAGTCTGTAACAAAACAAAACGACGACTTTAATATTCTGAATTGGAGTGAACTTATAGATAAATCATCTACTACTCCAATTAGTACTACCTTGTTGAATAATCTAGGTGAATTGAGGCCAAACCAATAGGCTTGTTGTTGAGATTGGCAATGTGAAAAGCAAGAGTTGATGTAATATCCTCTTGTTGAAGATGGGCCTAGCCCATCCAATGCCTTTAAAAAATCCTTTCTGAAACCTATATAAAAAATATTGTTCAAAAATTATTACTCTGTGTCACCTAGTGTTCATGGGATGGGTATTATATTATATTGACGAATAAATACTACTCACCTTGAAGTATTTTGAGCTGATTTGGTGTACAATTTTTTATATTAGCTTTGCAGCTTGTCCAGGCACCCTTAGGATCACTACCAGGAGCCACCAAAATGTTTCTTACCTTAATTCAAAGATTAATATATCAAATACCATTCACAAAATAAATGGTACTAAAAATCTAACATACTCACTTGCCAATGATCATACGCTGCATTTATGATGAAAAGTGGCGTTTTAATTTGTTGAGCCACATTTTCTGGAAAAAAGCACTGCACCATTTAAATAGTAGATTTTAAATTCCAACTCTCATTTGAGACGTCCGTCCCATGCGATGAGCTCGATTGAAAAAACATGTTGGATGTTTTACTTCTTGATATTATACTACACTTACCAAGCCTGGTTTCAACTTTGAAGTACATGACGAAGGCAAACTTTTGGCTGAGCCCTAAAATTAAAAATAAAATAAAATGTAAGAAAAGAATACATTTTTCAAAATAATATTCTATTTGTTCCAAAATAAGTGTCAACTTAGCATTCAAGACCAAAATAAGTTCAAATGTATTCTTTTTTTTTGTAGTATTCAATTTTTAAGAGAAAATTATTAAATAATGATTAATAATTGACATATATTTTTTTTACCAAAGACTTATTTGAAGAAAAAGAAAATGTGGAGAGAGACGTACATGTAAAGTGACAACATCATTGAAGTACTGTTCAATGTACGGTTTCCCTGAAATATCGTTGCTAGACATAACACACATTAATTTGTTAATACTATGAAGAATTAAATGAATAGTAACTATAATTGAATTACAAATATATCAATGAGAACTGAGAAACAAGAATAATTACCGGTGAATAAAATAACCAGCATCAGAAAAGCATTTAACTTTAACATTATTTGGTAATAACATTCTGAAATTATCGCAATGCAAAATTGTTGCCAATCCTCCCGCTGAACATCCAGAAAGTATAGCCTAACATTCAAAAATAAAAAGATAATTGATTTTTATTCGAGAATAAATCACTATAGCAATAATGTTGTAAAACTTTAGCACTTTAAAATAGTTATGCTATACATGAATATGCATGTAACCATAAAAAAGTGAATTCAATAAATAACATATATGTATATGACTTGTACATTTTGAGATTTTTTCATTCCTTGGGCCAACAATTCCTCCATAATAGCTTTGAATATCCTTGCCCCTCTATAATGAAGTCTTGTAGCCTGTCAAAATTGAAGTTTTAATTTATTTATTGTAAAAAAAATAAAAACTTGGGAGCTCTGAAGAATTAATATAGTATTCAAAATATGACTTACAGGATCAATTGCTTCAACATCTCCCGTAAAGGATCCGCCATCACAATATCTAACGGAAACTCTGTTCCAACTATGAAATTCTACAATTTTCAAAATTGTATTAATTAATCAAATCTCTATATATAATTCCATCAGAAAAATACATTATTTTCGTAATCAACTCGTGTAATTCTACTTATCTAGTGAGCATAGAGTACTTAAAAACTTTATCGATAGAAAACAATTTTATAAAGTGATGCATATTAAACAATATACGATTTGCGTACAGTACTCTATCAATGAAATATGTAAAATATAGAAATATAAGATTAGTTACCTGGATTAAATTTGGGATCATTACTCATCATCCCAGAGAAAGGAAGTTGGTGATCCATTTTTGCACTAGATCCCAACCTGGTATTCTTTCTTGTAAGACAAGAAGTAACATTTTGGCACCATCCACCTCCCTTTAAATTAATAAGTTGTTAGAGATTTAATTTAGTTTTAAAAAGGAGTTTTAATTAATTCAAAAAAAAAAAACTAACCTCAAGTGATATTACCCAACTATTCACTCCTGAGCCTGATCCTCTATCAAGATGGTACGCTGGTGGAGTTCCATCCAAGCAAACTATAATAAACACAACATTCAAAATTGTTATTTGTGTTTCGTAAAAAGTTAGATACACATTCCATGTCCAAATCCAGAAACTTTCTTCGCCCACAAAAATCGATTTAAAAGAGAAAAAAGGAAAGGAAAATCACCAGCTCCTTTTGCAACGGCACTTTCAAGTATAGTGATATTAACAAGGAGACCTTCTGTTGTAACAAAAATCAGAAAACAAACAAAATACAACAGAAAACTGGTCACCATTCTTCTCTTATTGATGAATAATATTGGCCAAAAGAAATTTATATATACATTTTTTTCAACATGGAAACTGATTTTATATAAAGTAACAAGTGTGGACTAAAGCCAAATATGGAATATTTGATTCAATTACAAAAATACAAATTTGGGTAATCTTGGAAATCTTTTTAAATATAGAATTAACTCTACTTTTCCTTATTTTTTGTATACGACTAACTAAAACATATATTTTGTCAATATATGCCACATCTATATAAGGTAGAGACTTAATTAAATACCTTTAACATATATTGTCAATATTATTATTTGCATTTATTATCATTAATTTTTTAATTACATTTGAATTGTAAGAAAGTTGAGAGTTTTTTTTTTATCAATCTTGTATAATATGAATATGAAATTGCAGACGTGAAACGATGATGCATGTAAACTATTATCAAATCAACACACAAGAAGTCTTAACAACTTAATTTGTGATATGTCTTTGAAATTCTATCTGTGCAATAATTAAACATAATAAATAGAGCAAATACTATAATATCATAATAAAGTGTAACAAATAAAACTTTCAATGTATATATTCTAGAGGTATATATAGGAGTTTGTTTTCACTTGCACTACTTGCATAAAAAATTTCCACACATTACATTTATCACCAAGGCAAGAAAATCCATTCTTTTGTGGTTCATTTCAACATTCTGAAAAGGCAGCATTTAAAGGTGATCAATAGATAGAGTTTGCAAACGAAAACCATAATAAACACAAATTATTTTTTTATCGACATGCCAACACCTACTTAGGAGTGTTTGATCAATTAACATAAATGGATCTTTCAGCATACTAAATCATAATCTGATTATAGACAATATTTTTCCATTAATAAATAACAAACAAGCATATAAATGAGCATTGGTTTCTTTATGCAATTCCAGCCTACATAATTAATTTTGTGTGTAATGGTAGTCATGACCAATTCACCATCGAGTTTCTTGAATGTTGTATGTATGTATGTATCTCTCGGACTTGTCATGTATGGACAACGTTTGATTCTAATTATTGTAGTGACAATATTATTTCTAATTAATATAGTATATGAAAATGAACCTCAAAAGTATACCATATTATCCAAATCATAGGTAGAAATTCATCCCCAAAATATAGGAATTGATGAACATATAAAGTAATGGCGCAATAAACCTTTCTACTTGGCTCCGTTTGTCAGTTGAATCCTTCTACTTATTACATTGCCAAATGAACCCTTAAACTCGATTAAACTCTATTTTCTAAACCACTCTGATTATTGACCAAGCTTATACGACATTAAAATGGTTGAGTTGGACAAATGTAAGACCACACACGTTTTAAAGCGACTGAAAGCAATATTTTTATTTAGAAATTATTAAAATTATAAGACAAAATAATAATAATAATAATAATAATAATAATAAATTTTAGAAAAAAATCTCAAAACTTTTCTTCTTCAACCATTATTCGACAATCAACTTTTTTTCTTTGTTGATGATCAAGTTACTTTTATAAATTCCTATACCAAGAAAAAGAACAAACATGTTAGTATATCCAAAAATTAGAATGAAAAAAATGGATGATGCTTACCTAAAATTCTGAAAGTATATCCAAAAAGGGATAATGTCCAAGTATCCCCTCAACCTATGTCCGAAATCTTAGAGACACATTTATACTATACTAAGGTCCCATTACCCTCCTGAACTTATTTTAGTAGTAATTTTTTACCCCTTTTCGACCTACGTGACATTATCTTGTGGGGCCAAGGATGGTTGACTTAATTTTTTCAAACTAGTGCCACATAGGCTAAAAAGGGGTAGAAAATTACTTATAAAATAAGTTCAGGGGTAATAGGATCTTAGTATAATATAAGTGTGTCTCTGGGATTTCGGTCATAGGTTGAGGGGGGTACTTGTGCATTTTCCATATCCAAAAATGAAAATCTAACAACATTCACAAAACAAAGGAACACCATAATACCACAAGGCATAAAAATAAAATGTAGCAAAAATTCATAGTGACAAGAAATTAGTAACACATATACATATCTTATTTGTACATCAACAACGAATAGTGTAAAGAGAAAGACGTGCCTTTGTAACAGTAATGGAAAGTCAAATAATTTTGTATGGGCATAACAAATTAGGATTGAAAAAACAAATATCATCATAATACATTTAGGGGTCGTTTGGTACAAAGATCAATAATGCAGAGATCAGTAATATAAAGGTTAGTAATGCATGAATTATTATTATCAAGTGTTTGATTCTTTGTTTTATAACTAGTTTTGTGTGCGATTTAAAACTCTACAAAAAAAAATATCTTTCCAATTATACCGTTGAGTTGTTCTGAGATTTTTCTATTTCATATAATTGGGTCAAGGTAGATAATTGATTGATAATATTATTTTTTATAGTATTTTTAACTAGTCAGGAGAATAAAATTTTTATTGTCATGTTCACTATTTTCTCACTTAAATTATTTGAGAGTAAATAATTGTCATCTTAATATATTGGAGTTAATATCTCAGAAGGTCACACAACTATAATAATTTATAGAGAAAATTTATTGAACTTTTTTTTGTATCAATAAATTTTAAAAAAACTCTTTATCATAAAATAAAATAAAAATAAACAATAGATATCGCAAAAGTAATTAAACTATTTTTATACTCGAGATATTTTATATATATATATATATATATATATATATATATATATAT